GTCTGGCTTGAAGCTGAGAGCCTGTATCCCTCTCCCAAAGGGGTTCACTTACTCCAGGGTTAGCTGGTCAGCTCGGCAAACAAGGGTATAATCCTATGGGCTATAAAACGGACAAGGAGAAGCTTTAACACACGAAAGTGTGAGCAGAGGACCCCGCACGCTCAGGGCGAGTTCCTTTCCAGCTCTCACTTTCTCTGGTACTAATTTCGCTCCCCACAAGAATCTTCCCGACTGGCAGACACACAGAAATGCCATGACCGAGGCGGTTCCCTACTTTGCCTCAACTGTTGTGTCTTCTCATCTCCCTTGTCTCCCTAAAATGATGCAATGCTCTGGGGGCTGAACAATTGAGTCTAAGGAGGAAGTGCGTTGATGCCATAAGACGTGCTAGGGCACCCCCTTCCCCCTACCAGAAGCTCTTTCTAGAGGGGCCTCGGGAGGAGGAGGTGGCAATGTTTATTTCCCGTGGGGTACAGAGCCTGGAAGGAGGGATACGGGTCTCACACCAAGTCCTCCAATATCTTTTTCATGACACAGTTTTTCTGCCCTGTCCCATATGGAAATTGGGTCATGGTCAGGATCATGGCACAGAGTACGGGCTAGCGGTGGGTTCCCCCTAAAATTGAGGTGTTCCTGCATCCCTGCTGGCCCTGACCGTACCCCATCCCCAAAGTCCCAGAGAAATCTCACATACATGCTCTGTCGGGGAGCAGACCTGGCCCAGCCATGCCCGACAGGTTTGGGACACTGTAGTGTGACCTCAGCAGCTGGCTGAGGCTCTGGGTCGCAGGTAAGAGATTGGGGTGGGGGAGGGGTGGGGAAGGAGGAAGAGAAAGGATTTCCTGATCACTTGACAAACATAAGCCCAGGCCTGAGCTTCACAGTATATCTCAAGCCCCGCCTCCCCTGCCCCCCACCCCCCCACCCCCATGCACTCCCCGCCCCCAGTCTCTCTGTCCTCTCTGATCTGGCACTGATAAAGCTCAGGCTCTGAAAATGTGCGGCCACTCAAGAAGGGTGGGGAAACCAAAGAGCCTCTAGGAATGAATGACTCAGCCAAGGCTGAGGAGAGCAGCACGGTCTAGATGCGAACATTTGCACACACATCTCACACAAAGCTCTTTTATGATCTTTTTGCCGTCCCTGTTGACCGGTGGAGCGAAGTCGCAGGCTTGGGATTCCGCTTCTGGTTTTCTCACTCTGCAGATACACTCTCAGTTCCAGGTGGGGATTCCTGAGCCAGATTTCTTGCTCCGGGTCACTTCTGGGCTTCCTCCAAGGACCCTTAGCAAAGCCCAAGGGTCAAAAGCCCTATGGTTTTGTTCTCCCTGTCCTAACAAAATGGCTAAGAGGACCCCCATGGAAGCCTTTGTCTCCTGCATAAGGGCCTTGGGTCAAGGAAGGGAAGATTGGGTATCTCATGCCGTGCTAGTCCCATGCTTTGTTACTAAAGTCCCTAATTCTTGAGGTCCGCAATTCTCTGCCTCCTACCCCAGGCAGAGAGCTCCCAAACCAGCCCCAAACATCTGACTTGCATCCATCTCTACTTGGGGTTTACACAGTCACCCCCTTCAGGGTTTTCCTACGGCATCTCATCTGGCAAGTAGCCTACTCTTCAAGACGTGCTCCGGGGCCCCGGCTGAGACACTGCAGAATGTGGGACTCTTTGACATCCGTATGGACCCACTAGAGTGAGAATGACCAGCAGCTAAGGTTAAACATCATCGCTGAAACAGCAGCGGTAGCGCCTGCAAATGGGTACATGCCATACTGTGCGCGGGAGCCAAAGCGTTTTGTTCAAGAACAGCGACTCGGTATGTGTCCGAATGCGGCTTTGGTTACAGAGCAACACAGAAGGGCCAAGAAAATACATACTCTGGTGTTTCATAAACCTACTACAGCAGGGAGACCTAGTGAGACAACTCCCCTGCCAAACAGAACATTCCAGATGCTGAGGAGATAAATTAGAAGGGGCTGTGGTCTGTGGAGCATCAGAAAAAGCTAGTTCCCCCTCAGAGACGGAAGTTCAATACGTTTGGGGGAACCGGAAATAACCCAGACCCCTCGGGCTTGGACAGGCTGATGGGGTTACGTTAGGGAGGATCCCCATTTTCTCCCATGCCCCCCACTGCTCAGGTCAGACTTCTGCCCTCCACGCCCCAGCCCCACCATAAGGGCTTCACTCCTGCTCTGGGAGCATCAGGGATATCTCTCAGGTTTTTATGTACAAATCTGTCCTCACCAAGCAATCCACCGGCCTCTGCCAGACCCAGGACAACGGGACCCTGCGTGCTGGTGTGTTGTGAAATCTGGAAGTTCCGCTCCCCCCTTTTTGTGCATACTCCAGGGTTTTCTTGGGTTTTAGCAAAAAAGCCTTTTAAGGGTTTGACTCATGGGTCTCCACCTCCATCGCGCTCAGGGAGGTCTGGGCCAAAAAACAAATCCAAGCACAGATTATTTAGGATCCCCTCCCCGTCCCCCGGTGACCAAGCCTTCAATGCCGGGTCCAGCTGGTCTCGTTCGAACACTCCTTCTTCCCCGCAGCCTCCTCAGTCCTCACGCAAATATAGTCCTGACCAGTCACACAAGTCCTCCCCCACCCACCCCCCACTTCAAAAGGAATTAGACTTTTTCTTTCTTAAAAGTGCCTCAGGAGGGACAGTGTCTGGACTGTAGTCACAGATACAAGCAATTTTCATGACAACACAAGGTGTCAGCAACAATATCCTTTCGCTCATCCTTGTGTTAGTTACAAGGGGCGAAGAATTAGCTTAATCTAAATAACATTATCTATATTTAAAATTTTTTAATTTAGAGTGTATACAGATACTTTTGTAAAAAGTATTGAACACCTAGAAAGCCTTTTCTCACACTGTAATTGCTCTGCCCTCAAAGGGATTGGAAGAAATGATCCCAAATCTCTATAAACTCTAGCGCTTAATGTTGGACATTTGGTAGGACTAGCTTCATTCCCTAAAGACATCCCTGTGCTCCCAAAATAGGTAAATATAGTCCCAAATACATCCCAGATATGCTCTGGCTATCAATTCCCATAAAAGGATGGAAGAGATAAGTAAGTCTTGTTAGAGGAACTTATCACCTGCCTCTGTGTCTATAAATGACCCATGGACACAAAACGCAGTCATTCAAAGTCACTGGAAAACACCTATGTTTTTGCAAGGGTTCATGCTGGCCAAGATCAGGTACCCCAGGAATTGGTCTGGAGCTCCTAATGTGTGCAGCAATCCCAACACTATTCAGAGCAGCCAGAGGTGAGTGCCGACATTTCCACAAGACTCGTGTGTGGAGAAAATGCATGTGTGTCGGCAAATTCAGCTTCTTCAAATGGCACTCACAGCAACTTGCACCTCCCATTCTGTACCCCTCTGTGAGGGAAGCTAGATGGGTATTCATTGCTTCACAAACATGGATATAGAAGGTGAGGTCAAAGAAGAGACAAGCTATCAATGAAGCCATGCTCAATAGATAAACGCCCAAGTGTGAGATCAGCTAGGTCTCCCTCTCATGGCAAGATCCTCCTTGAATCTAAAGACAAAGCCTGTCTGCTTCGAGACTCAGTTTAACATCAGTTGCTCTGGGGCTGGTTGGGAACTGCTCAGAGCATGGGTGGACCAATTCTAAGTGTGGTCTGACATATGATAGCTGAGGTCTGGCTGGGGACTTCTCGCCTGCCACCTTGACTCTGCAAGGCAAACCTTAGAGAAAAATACAGGAGAGAAAATCCTCCGTTGCTCAGCAGGGGACACTCAGGTCCCCACTGCCACTTTGTAACCCCTCCGAGGGAAAAAAAAAATCTCAATACCAAGTTCAGTGTCCAGGCGCAGTGAGGTGGGATCACTCGGAACCCCGCCATGCTAGTTTTGAAGCTAACATTCTCTTGGCTTCAAGTCTACCCTTTTACATTTTGCTGAGGTGCTGGGGTTGGGATTCTGCAGAGATCATGCCTTGTCTCTTCTCTGATAGGCTCCGCCCATTGGGGGTACTGGTGGGAGAGGGCATGAGGCTGGAAGAAGAGGAAGGAATTCTCTCCTGGTTTTCTTCCTGTTTACCTCTATTGGCTTCCTGTCCCTGTTTCCACTAGCAATGCTTTGTGTTCATTCAAGCAGGGTCAATCCCTTCCAGAAGCATTGGACTCCAGTGTTTTGTTTTTCTCCTCAATCATGGAACCAACCTGAGCCAAAGAGCTTCTCCTCCTCAGAGACAGAGGTACCATCCCTTCAGGAACTTTCTGCTGAGCTCGGAGACACCAGAACTAGCTGTTCCCTGTATCTCAGAAATCAGAGATTCAGCCCACACACCCCTTCTCCAAGTGCCTAACTTTGAACAAGTCCAATTATCTTACCTTTTGGAGCCTTGTGAAAACTGTTTCCTACAGATGCTATGGCCCTAGTACCTGTGAGTCCTCTCCCTGCCCTTTCCAGGTACCTGGTTAATATTTCTTTATATTACATCATCTCTGGCATAATAACTGGAGTGATTTCTGTCTCCTGCCCAGACCAGGACTCATCCGCCCTCAGTTAGGTTCTAAGCATCTATGGCAGGAGCTAGAACGTGGCGCTTCCCAACCCTACTGGATGGCGACGCTGGAGAGGGCTCACCCCCCCACCTCCCACCCATGGCCCACATTCCGATCTGGTTTGTCTCCGGCCAACCTCTGCACAAGCAGAAGCAAGTTCACATTCAAAGGACATAGTGAAATTTGTGGCAAATGGAGCTTAATTGCTGTACAGTCTTGGGAAGGGGAATGGGGTGGTGGTAAGGATTCCCCGAGCTAAATATTTGACGGTTTCTCCTTGCTGGCTAGAAGCGAGCTGTATGGAAGGATCTTCATCATAGGTTTTCGAGAGAAGGTGATCTTGTTATAGTTTGCAGTGGGGTTTTCTCTGGATTCCGTATGAAAGTGTATTGGTTCTGGGATGACAGTGGGCCTCAGGGTCGAAACTGAAAGCGTGCTCAATACAGATAACATGGTCTCTGACCTCATGTCCTTGACCATCGTGTTTCCAGAAGACTTCGATGACTTTCTCCTTTTCTGGTGCATTATGCTGGAAGGTTTGCTCTGTCGTGAGGCCTGCTGGCTTTCTTCAAATGCTTGCATACAGTCCAGATCTCTGGCTTTGCTTTTCTCAATGAGTTTTCTCACCATCGGGGATGTGTATGTGACATAGGCTGGCCATGGGCTGTGTTTTTCAAGAAGATTCAGGGGAAGCCCAATGTTCTCCGTGAGTTCTACCAGCAAAGAGAAACACAGGTGATTTAGGGGCACTTATGTACAACGATTGAGTTCTTCAACGATTGGAGGCTATTGGAACCACATTTTGAATGTTTCCCCCATCATGCATAATTGCCCTTACACCCCTTGGATTCAGTGGGGACAAAATCTAATCTAAAGATGGGAGATAGAATGACATCCCAGAGTGTCTACCAGTTAAAAAACAGCATCGTGGTAAAGGGCAGGGAACTTGGGAGTCTGGAAGACTCAGCTTCAGATCTTTGCATAACATCAAACTGTGTGTGCACTCTGAACATCCATGTTTTTTTTCACCAGTAAAAATGGTTACCAGAAGCCAATTGTAAAGATTAGCCAAATCGATACATTTTAAGGGCTTGGAACAGTTTTGCTCCATAGTTCAGCCCATGGAAACATGAGCTCTACAATTAGACCGGTTGAGTCCACATTCCTTCTCTACCTGCGCAATCGCCCTGTACCTTGAGCAAGCCCAGGAGCCCTTCTAAACTGTAGCTGCCTTGTGTGTAAACTCATGGGTATAATGAGATCGACTTCACAGAGCCTTCTTGGGAGTTAACGGAAGTAGGTTATGTAAAGTTTTTAGCACAGTACTTGGCATGTAATAATCAGTATACGGTCACTACAAACATTTGCCTCCTTACCTGCCCTGTTTCATTTAATCCCTGTTACACCTTCTAATGGGTATCACACCCCAGTTAACTGAAGATTGAGACTGAAGCTGATTAGCTTACACAACTAGCAAACAGTGGGTCTGAACTCCAATCTAATGGGCTCAAAACTCCTCAAGCTTTTCACTACAGCGCTGGCCAGAGGTTTTGAATATTTGGGGTTAGGGAGGCTTTACTAGAAAGTCTGTTCATCAGTGTACCAAGCAGCCTGTTCCTTTACAGATACCAAATCATGGCTGGGTCAGTCTTTCCCTCTTTCCCTTGGAACTCTGCTCTGTCTGGTAGAAATGCCTCACAATCTCCCCTCTGCTGCCACCACGTCCCCTGTTTTCTCAAATGGTGCATACTCTGATCATTTCAGGAGGGGTCTGGGAAGGCAAGGAAGCTACGAGGTTGATCTCACCATCTCCAACCTAAATTCAGTGAAAAGAAACCACTATATCAATGGGGATAATCAGAGAAAATGCAGATTTTACTGTTATTCCCAGGCTGTCCTGTGGGCCTTTCCTGAGCTGGAGCTGATCTGTCAGTAAAGAATGGGTTGTGGGAGGTTTCATTTCCCTGCAAGAGCTGGGTATTATCCTGCCCAAGGAAGGCAAGATGCGTGACATCATCTTTCACTAAAAACAAAAACAAAAAACACGCACATCCAGGCTTCCAAGTGCAGACTCAATGACTCGTCTCTGTCTCCTCAAAGTAGATGCATAATGCAAAGATCTCGAGCCGTCTGGCTGGTTCAGTCCATAGAACGCACCACCCTTGGTCTTGAGGTTGTGACTTTGCCCTCCGTGTTGGGTGTGGAGATAACTTAAAGATAAAATCTTTTTTTTTTTTTTAAATGCAAAGATCTTGCAGGTCGAGAGGCATTTGCTTCTATCTGGCAGAGGTGAAGTAAACCCTTCTGCAGCAACATGAGCCACACCCCTCCTTCATCTCCTGCTATGTTCTCTCTACATTATAACAGGAGGAGCCACCCGGAGTCCCACCTCTTTGCCTTCCTTCCCAGGTCTGGAAGCTTCTACCAGCCCTGCGGCAGGAGCTCCCTCGTGGCTCAACCCCAAGCCCTACCTTCGTCTCTCTTCTTCTTTCTTGCTTCAATCACCGCCATCATTAAAGAGTTCTTCACATTGAAGGCCCAAATACCTTTGGGGAAACACACATGTTAGCCAGGGTCACCACAGTGTGACCTACAAGAAGGGGACATGTCTTCCGTGGAACTGGGGAGAGGGTCGGTGAGCTCAGCTCGAGAAGTCCTGGGAGACGTCGTCCTCTCTACCAGAGTCCCCGTGTGCTCGTGTTACAGGGCTGAATCTCTGCCTCCTGGCCACACTTCTCACCGGCACTGAGGGAAAGGAGTGGGCTGCTGTCCAGAGTCAAGACACAGGGGCCCCAAGGACAGGCTGAAATAGAGACGTTGCAATGTTGTATGTGGCCTTGACTGTGGGCAATTTGATGGGACTTGTGGTCTAGAGGTTCTCAAACCAGGGGATGGGTGCCTCTGTATGAAGGGCTTGTTAGAACACAGGTGTTGACGGGCACCTGGGGGGCTCAGTCGGTTAAGCGTTCCGACTTCAGCTCAGGTCATGATCTCATGGTTCGCGGGTTCGAGCCCTGCATCGGGCTCTGTGCTGACTGCTCAGGGCCTGGAGCCTGCTTTGGATTCTGTATGTGTCTCTCTCTCTGCCCCTCCTCTGCTCACCCTCTGCCTCTTTCTCTCTCAAAAAGAAATAAACATTTAAAAAAATTAAAAAAGAACCCATGTTGAGCCTCACCTCCAGAGCTCTGGAGTCGACAACCAGCGTCCTAAACCAGAGGTAGGGAGGGAGATGCTGACAGTTTGTAAGATTTTATCATTAACTACCTAAGGTTTTATCATTAACCACAGGGCATTATTGTGTCGTCCTATTTGTCACTTTTATTTAACATTGTTCTAGAAACAGGTCAGGGAGTTCCTTCCTAGTGAGCGCTAAGACTGGAAAATGTGCATCAGAGAATTTTTATCCAAGAATTCATTATTTTGCACATTCAGGGCTGCACATCTCTGGGTCCCTTGAACATCTGAAATGCCAAGGACCATTTCCACTGTGGAAAAAGTCCCAGATGCTTTGGAACAAGTTCCCAGGTGATGCTGGTACTGTTGGTCAGGTGACCACACTATGGGAACCGTGGGTCAGGGGCAGTCCGCTTCTCAAACTTTAGTGACGGCTACGACTGCCTGGAGAGCCTATTAAAACACAGACATGGGGGAGGGGGAGGGGGAGGGGGGAAGACACACTCCTATGATTCTGAGTCAGTAGGTCTGCTTTGGGGACCTGAGAATTTGCATTTCCAAGAAGACCCCAAGGGACAATGCTGGTCTGAGGACCACACACTGAATAGAGCTGCTTCAGACTAGATAGTGGTTCTTTGCCTTTCTTTCAGCTGCAACATCTGTGGGAGCTGAGCTGCTGCATGTGAAACACTCCCCTGAGCTAAGCGAATCCCCAGGTTTGCTGCCCCCTTCATTCTCCTAACCAAGGAGCTGCTGTGGTATGCCAGTAAATGCGTTATTGATGGGGGTGACCTTAAGTCCCACTATATTCCCCAAGTAAGTTATTCCCAATGTCAGCATTTTATTCTTACACACCTCACAAAGGATCGCATTCTAGACATTTATTCATACTCTTTAAAAAAAAAAAAAAAAGCTACTTTTTGTCAAACCTGCTCAGGTCCAGGCTTTACAGAGTCCCCTACTGTTCCGTCTTAGTGGCAATCTCTGATGACAACACATTTTTAAGTTTATTTTATTTATTTGGACAGAGAGGGAGACAGCAAGGGAAGGGCTGAGAGAGAGAGCGGAAGAGAGAGAATCCCAAGCAGGTGCCATGCTGTCAACGCAGAGCCTGACTCAGGGCTTGATCTCACAAACTGAGACCATGACCTGAGCTGAAACCAAGAGTCAGATGCTCAACCCACTAAGCCACCCAGGTGCCCCCATTAAAGCCTGGTCCTTTCAATATCCACTACTGATTTTTAAAAATACTCCTACTAAACTAAGAACAATGTTTTCTTGACAGGATTGTTACAAATCTGCCCAATAGCCAATACCACATTTGACACCACAGGGCATTACTGTATTGTCCTGTTCGTCACTTTTATTTAACATTGTTCTAAAAGTAGTGGCTATGGGGGCACTTGGGTGGCTGAGTTGGTTAAGAGTCCGATTTCAGCTCAGGTCATGATCTCACAGTTCTTGAGTTTGAGCCCCGCGCCAGGCTCTGTGCTGACAGCTCAGAGCCTGGAGCCTGCTTCAGATTCTGCGTCTCCCTCTCTCTCCGCCCTTTCCCAACTGTGATTTGTCTCTCTCTGTCTCTCAAAATAAATTTTAAAAACGTAAAGAAAATAAATAAATAGAAGTGGTAGCTGTTACCCTTATACCTGAAAAAGAAATTAGAAGCGTACCTATCTGTAAGAAAAGACAGTTATCATTATTTGTAGATGATACAACTTTCTTAAAACCAAGAGGAATAAGTAATTTTTATTACAGAAATTAAGAATTGTTTTCCTCCATCTACAAAGTTCAAGAATATAGCTATATTCTCAATAGCAACAAGAGTGAAAGCTACCTAAGAATAAGTGACATTTAATTATATATGCATATGTACACATTTATTTATTTACTTATTTATTTATTTAGAGAGGCAAGGGAGAGTAGAGGAAGAGCACAGGGGGAGAGAGAGAGAATCTTCCGCAGGCTCCACACCCAGTGCAGAGCCCAACACAGGGCTCGATCTCACAGCCATGAGATCACGACCTGATCCCAAACCAAGAGTCAGACACTTAACCGCCTGAGCCACCCAGGTGCCCCCCTGACAACACATTTTTAGGAGAATTCACAGTATCATTTTTCTGAAGTTAGAGAAGAAGCAACTAGTTCACGTAGACCTCTAACCTACAGTTTCGTGTAATAATCAACAACAACAAAAGAAAGTTGAAGCAACTTATCTCTGCTTCTAAGACCCACCATGGATCTCAGAATTACAGGTCACCCATCCAAAGTCCCCAGGAATATAGTCCTCAGTGATTGCCCAGCCCATGTCTGTTCCCCTCCAATGAAAGATTTCTTGACTTATGCCCCATACGTCAAAACTGTTAGAAATGTGTTTGTACTTCTCCTCATATGTACGATAGGGTTCATCAATCATGCCAGACGATGGGATAATGTTTTGAGTTCATGATATTTGGGGAATTTTGGATAACGCTCTTCACCCCGGCTTCTATGTTTCTAGTGAATAAACCCGAGACCTCAAAGCAGCTCAATTCTTAGTGAATCGTTTGTATCAACACCAGCAGCCATTGGTATAACCCAACACCTTGCCCAAAGCCTCTCACCCTATCTCGCCAGCCCCCAAGAGTAGCCCGCCGTGGCTCATACACAGGTCTACAGAACGGTGAGTTTTTGTGATACCTGCTGATGCGGGAGCCAGGAAGCTACAAACCCTGGGGAATGTTGGAGACGGTATCAGAACTCATGGGCAGGACTTGTTTGTTTGAAAATAAAGGAGACAAATAGTTGACATTAAGTCTGAAGACAAGCTGTGGGCTTTCATAATTTCCTTCAGCGCTGGCACAAAGACTCCATTTTGTCTCCCTAGAAATGAAATGCAAATCAGCAGTCCGTGGACAGAAACAGCATTGACGGGAGGAGCAGGAGGCACAGCATTGAAGTGGTTTTCTTGTTTCTCCTACAGGCACAAAGGCCTGTGTTCAGTCCACTGGGTTTTCAAGCCCATCTCCTCCCACCCAAACCTAGTCTCCTGTCCTGCCATTTCCAGAATCCTGTCTGATATGCTGGCCTTGGCCTACGTAAGTTCAAGGGAGTGACACTTGCCCAGCATTGGACACAAACCTGTGACCTTGATCTTGTTCCTTAACTTCTTAGGACCTCCATTATCTCACCTTGGGAGATTTGGGAGATGAGGGTGAATTCCCATCCTGTGTCTCTTATGGAGGTATGGGTGTTATAATAAACTGCCTGTAAATTAAAGGGCTTCCAAATTATCAGTCCTCCAATGCTGCGGCACATTGGAATTACTAGGGATCCTTTAAAAATTCACATGCCCAGCTGCATTGTGATTTAGTAGGAATGAGACACAATACAACCATCAGAATTCAAAAGCTTGGTTCTAATGTACCGCAAGGTTTGGGACCCACTGTTTTAGAGAACAAGTCAAAAAACACTGAAGATGTATATGGTCTTAGCCACTTAAAATTAGGAATGAGTTCTGGGGCGTCAATCTACCCTCTCGCTGTTTTAAGACATATTTTCATCGAAGGATTCTTGAATAAATATGTATCAATATATATACAGTACTGAATGTCAGTGGCCTTTAAACATTTATAAGGATCATAGTGCATTTCCACTACCATGTGCCAACACCAGAATTTACTTAGATCAAAAGACAGCCGGAGCCTTCTACTACTGAGCAGAGAAAACTGTGGCTGCTGGTGGTATCATCATGCAAAGCTAATCTCACCCTCTCTCTGTGGCCACAAGTTGCATCCTTATCTCAGGAAACCATCTTGCAAAGGGATTTTGTGCATTCAAGGCAGGACTGAGAGAGGAGTGCATTGACACAAGTCAACTCCACTCAGACTTCCTACTGCTGTGGAAGCAAAGCCATTTGCACACTCGTGATGAGCAAAGCATTATCTTCATCCAGTGTTTTCTAAACTATGTCCCAGAGAATGCAAGAATCTCTCAAGATGTTAATTGATATTACTTAAAGAGGGGGGGAAATGAGACGGGGTGGCTCAGTTGGTTGGGCGTGCAACTTCAGCTCAGGTCATGATCTCACAGGTAGTGAGTTCGAGCCCTGCATCAGCCTCTGCGCTGACAGCTAGGAGCCTGGAGCCTGCTTCAGATTGTGTTTCTCCCTCTCTCTCTGACCGTCCCCTACTCTTGCTCTGTCATTCTCTTTCTCAAAAAGAAACATTAAAAAAAGTTTTTTCTTAAAAGGAGAGGGGGTCCATGATGAGGGTCACCCTGTAAGGCCACATACATTGTTTAATCCAGGGGACACCATTCATACAGTGTATGTGTTGCAATATAAATACAGCAAGCCTGCCCTCAGTCAGGGAAGTTTGGAAAATGACCTGTTAAA